TTAGTGGATTTAAATCCTTGAAGGCACCCCAAAGATGACAGACGAAGCTAATGAAATGTAAATCCAAATGCTGTAACAGTATTTCCCAATAACAACATGATGAAGATTCCACAGTCTTGAAGATGAATTATAACAATAGAATAGATCAAACACACCCAAAATTCAGCGGGGTCAGTGAGGAGCCCAGAAAATACAGGTGAGAGGTGCAAAAGTTTATAAACAGATACCTATAGCAAAATGGTAAAAGTCCTGGGTCTCCCTGGTGGTGCAAGGGGTTAAAATGCAACCTATGAAGCTATCATCAGCCACTGCAGCATGAGTTCGATCCCCAGCCAGGGAGCAACCCACATGGCGCAGCAGACCTCTCCTGACTCGCCCGCTGCTCCCCTCAGCAATGTACTTCAGTCAATCTGCCTGTTCTGTTCCCTACTCTGTCTTTGGTGGATCCTCTCACCCGCCACACCTCTGGCCTGTACCCCAGCTCTTCTATGCATAAATAAATAAATCTTTTTTAAAAAATGGTGAAGTCCTGCTGAGCTAACAAGGGTTAAATGTACATTACCTTTCATTACTATTGCAAAATGAAGTTTAAACATGGAGTCAAAGGAATGAGAGCTAGTTCCTTAAGGGTGGTTTAACATCAGAAAGCACCACTCACCGGGTTCTCTAAAAGAAGATCAGTTGTCATTTTAAAGGCTATATTCTTTGACATTCTGCACATAGAGAGATGAGCTGCATGTTCCTTTTTTTCCCCTTGAAGATGGCCGGACTTTTGGAACTGTTTAAGAGATTACATTATGAGCAGAAATGACACTGAGGTCAGATCATAAAAAGGGCCTCCTTTCTGCCTTGTTCACGGAATCCCTGTGCTTAATGCCTTCAGCTGCCCCATGAGCAGCTCTCTGTCACGCGACGGCCATGATGTGAGGAAGCCCAAGATTAGCCATGCATGGAGACCACATGGAGAGACACCAAGTCCCTAGGAAAGACTGATGCTGGGACAGCACCCACTGCTTCAGCCATGCACTGTTTTAACATCAGTCACAAAATAACAAAAACTGTGAAGCTAAGCCCTTCCTGAACCCCTGACCCACAGAAAACATTAGAGCAAATAAAATGACTGGTTAAGTCACTGCTTAAAGTCATTACATTCTAGGTAATTTGGTAGGCAGCAACAGAGAACAAGAATATTCATAATCAGTACATGTGACACTCATACCAAGCTAGTTTCCCTCTCCACTGCACTGGGAAGAACATGTTATTATTCTCCTAACAATGAAACAGATGCCAAAAGTGTAACTCAATTGCCCAATCCCCTAAGGTCACATGACTCGTGAGCGGCAAAGCAAAGCTGCCTGGGCAGGAATTCTGACTCTAGTTGCAATGATTTTTCTGCCAAACCCCAGATGACTTCCAGAATAATCCAGGAAAAAACATACACATATCTTTATACAGACAGACACAGCAGCAATCGAAGAGAATTGCTGTGCTCCCAGTTCCAGGCACACAAAAACCAGTCCCTCCGTAGAGCCCCACTCCCTGACAGCAGGAATATGCAAGAACCAAAGCATGACGTACCTGGAAGGGCAAATCATTAGGAAAAGACTATAAGAGGGAGCAAGGCCTGAGGAGGGCCCTATGTTCTATCACCAGCTACCTCAGCTGACAGCCTCAGCATCATTATGGAAGAGTTTTCTGAAATACTTGTCATACCCCAGAGAAGTTTCCACACAAAGGAGATGATGGTGGCGTCCTCAGTTCCTAGTCCTGTGCCCTGACAGGGTGTCAAGACGAGTTTCAGCATTTGGAGCTGAAAATAGTGTCAATGAAGAGAGGCTTCTATTTTGACTCCACTGACTGACATTTCTTGTTTGCCTCTATGTTTTTTTTTTCCCACTGAGATCTTTAAAGACAAAAGTGATGGTGACAGGGGAAGTCTGCTCATGGGATGAAGCCAGCTCTCCAGGGCAGCATGCACACAGAGCAGACGGTAACCAGAGATGTCGGCAACTTGAGTCTTTTGAATTCAGCTGTAGAGGCTCTAAACAGGACCAGGAGGTCATTACAGGTGAATTCCTGTCAAAGATAACATTCTGGGTCTAAGAAGCAACTTTATCAAGACAGACAGACAAGTGAATAAAATATAACTTGGGTGAAGCAAAAGACTAAGAAATAAGTTCAAGGTCTGCATTCCTAGACCATTACTTTATCTGCCAAGGAGCACAAGGAGAAAGGGAACCCCCTCATTTATTTGTGCTGTGCCTTAAAACAGTCATTTCCAATCAGTCTCTGCTATCTGTGTCATTTGGATAGATGTTTTTAGTACTCATGTTCCTGAGACCTTCTCCAAATGTTTCTCAAATCAGTAGCTCTGGGGCAGGTGAAGAAGCATGTCTGAAAGGTAATTCATGAAGAAGCATGTCTGAAAGGTAATTCTAATGCACAACCAAATATGGGAACCACCCAGGGGACAGACACCATTCACTGTAACCATAATATCTCTTCTTTCCAGTAGCAGGAACTTCAAGGTGCTAATGGGGAACATGACTTTTTTTTTTAACAAAACCTGTCATTTCCAGGCTCCCTTGCAGCTATGTGGCAGCTAAAGGCACCCTTGCAATAAAGTCTTGCCAAAGGTCCACTTCCCTATGGTCCATTTAAACATTTCATCTTTCCTGACAGCTGAATGCCCTGATGCTAATCCAAACCATGAGATGACCTTGGGAATAAACAGTACAGTGGGCAAAACCCCAAGAGTTGACATCTTGACACCAAAGCTTCAAACTTCTTCAACATAGAGAGGAATAAGATGCAAAGCCATCTGGGTGTGCCATCTAATCCTGTGCTAGATGGGTAAATTCACAGTGAAAGCTAAAGGGAATAAACTAGCTTAGATTGTTCCTCAAATTCTAATCATCTCTTGTCACCACTGAGATAGCATAAGGCAGGAACTTGATTTTAATCCCTAATTTACAGACAAGGAAACAGAGACCAGAAAGTGGTAGAACTTACTCTGTGGTGCACATATATTGAACTAGAATGGCCAGGATGCCTGTCTCCCAGCAGTTGTTTGCCCACATTATTTTGCAGGACACTTGGTACAGAAGCCCTCTTTGGAATGTATACCTCTCAGAAAACTGAGCAGGGAAAAGACCTTAGCTAGACACCAGCAGCAGGAAGGGAGACCCCTATTTTCTCTCTCTGTTTCGCTTGCTCCCCCACCCTCTTTTTCTTTTCCTATTCTATTATTCCCTTCCATGATTTCTGGTCAGTTTTTAAACAGACCTGAGTTATAAATCATATAAATATATTTGCGGAAACAAATGTTCCCCCTCTAGGCCGATACACTCAGTTAGCAGGGTTCCATCACCCTCTATACTGACCTCAACTGCCAGAAATTAAATAAGTCTTCATCCAGGCACAAACAGAAGTTCCCAGAATGTGGGACCTCGCAGACCAGCCTAGGCTAAGGGAATCTGTTAACAATACTGAGTCCTCATTTTCAAAGACATAAAAGAGATATTGACTAAAACAGGCCACGAGCAGGACTGTGGAAATGGAATGAAATGGGCTGGCAGGCAGGTAGGATGTAAGACAGGCTGACGGTAGCACCTCCTTATTTGTTTATCATCTCCTCCTCCACTTCCCAGCTCAGCATGTAAGAACCAGAAGAAAGGGAGTCTTGTCTCTTTTTCATTCATTGTTATTTCCAGCACGCAGAACAATATGAGATCCATACTGTGGGCTCAATAAATGTCTGGGGAATGAATGAATAAGTAATGATAACACGAGGATCCCCTCCCTGCCCAGCTTCTCTGTGCTTGTCTAGCTGGCCAGCTACAATGTCTCCAACCTTTTCCTGCTATGGATGTCATCTATTAACCATTCTCCGCTCTCCACCAATTATCAGGCAGCTTAGAGAATTCAAGAGAATTCTAATTATCATTGGGGCTCTCCCTAACTGTTTCAGTCCCAAATCTCCTTGAGTGATCTACATCACTCTTATCAATCCTATATCCTCCTGTGATAGGCTGTACAGAATCACCAATACTAATAACCCTAATCACAGGAATAGCCCATTAAAGTTTGCAAATTACTCAAAATTGAAAATACACTAGGTGCCAGGCACTCTTGGGGCTTTAGAGGCCACCCCATTTAATACTCCATGCAGCAGATATTACTTTCTGAAGTTTATCAATAGGACATGGGAATGTCAGAGAAGTTAGGTAACTTGCTTAAGTACACAGCAGAAACCACCAGAGCTAGGACATGAACCCGGGCCTGCTGCTGGTCTCAAAAGGTTATGTTTTTAATAGGGAGGATCTAATTTCTCTCCACAGGAAGCAGGGAGTGAGTCTATGTGTGTGTGTGTGTGTGTGTGCGCGCGCGCGTGTGTATGCATATATGTTCAGTACACACATAAGCCCAGATACACACAAGACACGCGGGATGGGAGTGCTAGACATGGGGTGAGTACATTTTCCAAATCCCAGAGTTACTTGAGAGTATGCTCTAAGATGGGGGAATGATATTAAGCCAGAAGTCCAGATGACTGCCTTAGGTTAGCAACAAGTCTTTGGTTTGAAGGGCAGAAGCTGTTCAGAAAGGGAGAATGAGGCCCAAGGAACTGCCCAAGGTGGCTACCACTCCACCACTCACACTGTAAGCAACAGGGTCGCCCATGAAGACAACTAGGTATAGAAATCCTGCGCTTGCTGAAACTCACTGACCACAAAGAAACCAGAGACAGTGTCCTTACATTTGCTCCTTTTAAATCTCTGGGGTGTGGACCTTCTGATTTCCATTTTCCAGATGGCAAAACTGACACTCAGAGAGGCTAAATGATTGGCCAGGCATACCGCTAAGTGGGCGCCCCAGCCAGATAAACAGCAGGCCTGAGGCAAGAATGCCAGCTCTCTCCAGACACCCTGGAGCTCGCTGGGGACATCTGCAAAGCGGCGGGGACCATGGGAACTTCGGATGAGGGCCCCGCTCTTTACCTCACACTTCTCCACCACCGGCTGCTGCCCGCACTCAGAGCTGTTGCCCGCCACGATGCCAGCACGCAGGCTCTCGCTGTCCCCAGTGCCCTCCTCCATGGAGTAGGTCTTGGAGTGGTTGCCCCGGCGTTGCGCGGGCCCTCGGCCCTGGGCCAGGCTGAGCTGCCGGCGGAGTGCCCGGTTCTCCTCCTCCACCTCGCGCACACGCACCTCCAGGCTCTCCCGCTCCCGCTGGCTGGAGGCGGCGTAGCGGGGGCTGTGGGGCTGGGACTCCAGTGGTGACAGAGACACCGGCTTCCCATCTGAGGGTAAAGAGAGAGCAGGAGAGAGTTAACCAGGATGAACACCACCCCCCGCCTCCCCTCCATGCACCCCAGACAGCCATCACTACATAGCAAGGCGCCTCTCACAGTACCATTGAATATGGGAAAGCAGATGGAAAGTGAATTACCACAAAAATGCATCAGGCTGAAGTGGGAACAAAGTTGAGAACAGAATGACTTACTACAGTGATAAAAACGAATCTGCTGTTTAGAGAAGATAATCGTAACATCGTTTGTCCTAATTAAATGCACTGACTTCTTTTTCCTAGTTGACGTATCTGTATGTGATAATCTCCTTATCAGTAAAGCACTATGGATACGAAGGAATAGAAGTGTAAGGAGGAAAATGAGAAGAGAAGGGAGGAGAGAAAGGTGGAGAAGAAATATAAATAATGCATGTCTGTTTAGGTCTTTCGATGTGAACTCCTATGCATCCTTCAAAACCCCACTTCAAAAGCGTCACCTCCCAGGGGATGCCTTTTTCAATTTACAAACAAAAATATCCCACTGCATATTCCAACAGCATTGTGTAGAGATTGCTATAAAATCCTGCAAAATACCATCATACTGTATTTGGAAGATTGTTTTACCAAATCCATCTCATGAAGACTAGAAGTTCAAAGAAGACATAGACTAAGTGGTACTTATCTTCATGGTAGCATGTCACAATATATGATAAATGTTGAAATGGCTGAAGCATGTGTCCATGTCTGGATAAAATATTTAAGTGCAACAAGAAAGAAAAAAGTACAAGTGTCACCAACCTCAAATTTTCCCCCCAAAAAATAGACACCCTTCAACTAAGCACCAGCCATGCTCTATTTCACGATCATTCATGGGGAGGATAAGCAGGTTAAAGTCACACAACCAGCATGCAGCAGGGCCACAATCTGAACCCAGGTCTCACTTACACCTGCGTCTGTTTACTCTCCACTTAAATGAACCTTCACAATGCACAGTCCCCCCCTTATCTGCAAGGCATATGTTCTGAGACATCCCTACTGGTACAGAACTCTATATACACTATTTTTTTCTTATACATATACACAGTGTGTCTGGGTTTTCACAAACCCTTTGATTTGCCTCCTCATGGCCTTAGGCTTACAACCTGACCTCCTGGTCTTTGCCTATCAGTGCAGGAAACAGGACTCAACAAATTCCACCACCCAGACCCCAGATTAACATGGCATCGCTGGCCCATTACAAGCCCCCACCCCAAGTTTTGAAGGTTGTCTTCCTGTTTGGTAAAACTAAATTAGTTCATGAGAAAGAAGGAGGCCGCTGCCAGCAATGGTCTTTCTCTAAGCCCTGGCGCCTTGGGAGTGGCTGGATGAGATGAGCACTGGCCTGGGGTGATGGCTGAGGGATGCTGTGTTGCCTGCCGTCTGCACAGCTCTGGGGGCCACGTGCTGCTGGGGTCTGAGGTTGTCCCTGCCCAGGCAGGTGGCAGGGATGTCCCCATTACTGACGAAGACAAGACTCTGACTGCGCCACTGTGCCCCCTGGGAGGTGCATGGGCCTGGGAGCCGGTCTCCATGACGGCACGCAGCAAGTACCGAAGGCCGGAGCTGCAGACACTCTGGGGCCCGGGGGCTCCTTCTTCACAAAAAGGCCACCAGGTCCCAAAAACCCTGGAACATTTGCAGCAAATGGGAACTCCAAGTCTGTCCTGTGGAGAAGTAACTTGTATGCTCTGAGCTTCAGCTTTCCCTTCTGCGAACTGGGAGCAAACATCTAGCCTTGAAGGGGTGACAGAAGCTTTCAGACACACCCCAATACAGAGCAGCCAGCATTGGGCCTCCCGCTGGAACACAAGACTGGTGACCTCTGAATACTCCTTCCCAGGGGCTGAGAGTGGTGGGGAGATGGCTTGATGGTGTGAATTAGGGTGGTGGAGGCTGGAAATTTTCTAAACACAGAGCTATCCTCTGAAAGCCTACGGGAGCCACAGCACAAACCTCAGCTCACGGGGGCTGCAACCTCCCTGCTATGTTGTGCCTTCAGCCTGAGGCAGGTCAAAGCTCACCCGAAGATCACGGGGCCTGAAGGAAGAAACAGCTAAGCAGGAGGGTGGTTCTGCTACTTACTAATAGAGTCTCAGGCACAGAACTTAGTTTCTCTGTGACTCAGTCTCCCCATATGTAAAATAGGGGACAGGAGTGTGTGTGTGCAAGGGGTGGGCACATGACCTAGCACTAGGTCAAATAAGAGTAGATGTTCAAGCTTCCCCCCACACACCACACACACATCCCACCAACCCAGAGAGAGGACACACAGAGGCGACAGCAAATGGGGCCCTCATTTATGAGTTCCTTCACCTTTGCTTCTCTGTACCTTTCCTCCCAGGTTTCTATTATTTTTAGACACACCCAATCTATTGGCACACACAGGGCATCTGTTTCACATAATACCAGCGCGTGCTCCGCTGCGGTTCAGCCCACTTTGAGTTTAAAATGTCAAAAGAGACATTATTCAACACCTTAGTTGACAACATCTTCCTCCGTCCTCCAAAATTTCTCAACAAACATGAATTTATCATCGCATTTGAATCTCTGAATCTACTTGAGATGAATGTGCTGAATTAAGAATCAAAACATCCAAGATTCAGAACAAAAAAGGTAAATTGAAAATCAACTTCCATGCAGTGCAGGGACAGAGATGAGAGTCTTGCCAGCAAAAGTCCCAGTGAGGACGAGTGGGATTGTGTGTGCTGACTGTCTCCGGGGCTCCCTGGAGTGCTGGCATTCAGGGCGGCATCAGCACTTGCAAGTGGACAGAAACTGGGCTCACTAAGAAGCAGGACAGGGGTCTGGAAGGGCCTCCCAGCTCTCAGGCATTGCCTGGAGGGACTCACACCAGACCCTGCCATTGGTCAAGAACAACCCCAGCCCCTCGCTCATGAGGTGACAGCTGCTCCCTCCACCCTGCATCTTCCTGCCCAGGATGAAGACACTGCATCCCCAACCTTTATATGGAACCCCCTAAGCCCCAAGTACAGTGTGTCCCCAGGACCTGCCAACTCTTCCTTCCTGATGTTTAAGCACTGGCTTCTCTCATTCTATTTCAAACATCACATTTGAAACCAAGTCTTTAAATTTTATGTAGAACAGGGGTCATCAAATGTTTTCTGTGGCTTCCAGAGAGTGAATATGTTTTACTCTGTGGGCCACAGGGTCTGTGCGTGATGCAAGCTCTCAGCTCTGCCATGCGGCATAAAGATAAATAAAACACCACCCCTGGGAGTGGCTGCGCACCAATAAAACTTAGAAAACAAGTGGCGGGCATGCTCTGTGGACCCCTGTCCTACAGCCCTGGCCACCCAGCTTCCGGTCACTCACAAGTGCCAGGGATACGCTGTTCATTATTTAGACAGTGGACAATGCACAGTAGCAGCTCCAGGTCCTTCAAGGTCATCTGTCAAATTCCATCAACATCTGCTCAGCCCCTACTGAGTAAAGTGCTTGGAAGGTGCGTGTGTCCACTCGTTTTAAGTTAAGTGATTCCATAATGAATGGGTGTTCTCACTACGCCTGGTTAATGGGGCTGGGGAGAGAGAGAGTGACATGATTTAACATGTTCAATGCCAACCCAGCAGCAGTTGGTGAGGGAGGGTCTTGAAGGCAGCCTCATTAGCTCCAGCTCATTGCTCTTTGGCCCCAAACCAGAATGTCTCCCCTCTCCAGACAAGTCCAGTCCGAACGTGCTAGTGTTGCTCACCTGCACCCCTCGTCCCTTTGGCCAGTGGTTCTCAAGCCTGGACGCCACTGCCGTCCCTTGGGAAGCTTGATGATGATAGCCTCCTGCACAGACCCCACCCCAGATGAATTAGCTCAGAATCTCTGATGTTGGGGTTTAGTGACCCGCTTCAGAGGCAGCACCTTGCTGGGATTCTCATGGGCAGCTGAGGCTGAGAAAATTCAGCTTAGGCATTTCTCCCAAGCCACCAGGAGTGCCACGTACACCTGTTGACTCCAGGCAAATGCCAAGAATTGGCTTAAATGCAAAAGAAGTCTAAGTGTTGTTATATTGACCTTGACCTTTTGCCCCCATCCATGTCCCTGCTGGAATCTTAGGACAGTTCCCCTCACAGAAGCCAGGACTCCTGGACTGCCGCAACCCAGGCTGCCTGGTGTGCCAGCTCTGCCAGGCCCCAGGCTGTTTCGCTCTGGCAGTTCTCTCCTCCCAGGAAGAGAGTGTTTTCCTAATCAGGGCTCTGCTGCTCCAGCTGCTGGACCTTCTGGCTTCCTTGGCTCTCCCAGGTTCCCGACTCTTAACCAGCAGGTCATTTCCTTCCAACCATCTCTCCAATTTCTAACCTTTCACATTAGGCTGTATTCATAAGTATTTTCTAACTCTTTTTTTCCTAAAGATTTACTTATTTATGCATATAAGAGCTGGGGTACAGGCCAGAGGTGCAGAGGGTGAGAGGATTCACCAGAGACAGAGTGGGGAGCAGAACAGGCAGATTGACTAAAATACACTGCTGAGGGGAGCAGCAGGCGAGGCAGGAGAGGTCTGCTATGCCATGTGGGTAGCTCCCTGTGCGGGGATCGAACTCATGCTGCAAAGGCTGCGGATAGCTTCATAGTGCCAAGTCTTAACCCCCTGCATCACCAGGGAGGCCCAATATTTTCCAATTTTTTTAACACAATGCCTTTCTTGTGTTTAACCTGAAAATTTCCCACCCTCCTGCAATCCACTTTGAAATTGCAGAATAAGTTGAACATTGTAGCTGTTGTCATTTTAGAAAAAGTATATAAAATTCAGTTTGAGAAGTCTCTCATTTAATTTTTTTTTTTTTTAGAACTTTTCACCACTGGAGGTCCACGTGACAGGGGCGCCTGCTGGGTGTCACTAATTCCAGTGGACAAGTCAGGGTAAAGCAGTGGTTTGGGCTGAGCTTTTTTTCCTAAATCCCAGAACTGCGGAAACAGACTTGCTGTGGGGAGGGAAATGGTAGTGATGACAAGTAAAGGCTG